AAAGTGCTTTGAGATCTACTAACGAAAAGTGCTATGTAGGAGTGGAGTATCATTATTATTAAAGTGAGCAGAATGTAGCCCAGTTTACTCAGATCTGATTTTTTTCTAAGAATTTTACTTAATAAAACTTAATTTGTTTCTTCTTTGGGAAATGTGTAATATTTAGATTTTTCACATTCCTGAACATCTTATTACATTACTATTATTTTTCAGTCCCCTGTAATGTGGTTCCACGTTTTATAGGCTAAAACACTGAAATATTCCTAGAAATGATGAGCTTTATTTTTTTATTTCTTATAATAGTCTGGCCAACTCACAAGTTCTTGTTGATAGAGATTGGTGACTCACCAGCATTCAGTGCCAACATAATTCTGAGGACCAGGAGTTAAAAAGAACTTCACCATCCCTCTGCTCCAGTAATATCCGGGAAAGATCCCTTTTGTTTCTGACCAGAAATTTGGAACAATCAAAACAGAGACTGTCTGTGATGGGGTGTGTACCCCACCTAGGCCTTGAAGGGGTTAATATGGGCCTGAAAGACCAATTATGGTACTTGACTGCACCTGCAGGGAGAGCCAGGCTCAACTGATCATGAAATCCAGTTGGGCAGGAGCAGGCTGGTTAGTATAAAGGCAGGAAGTTGAACACAGAAGAGGGCTACAGTGAATTCTGCAGTCATTCCCTAGAGGGAAAGTGGGTTGGCCAGGGACAAGGAGATCCAGGGGAAGAGTAAGCCTGGGATCCTGCCCTGGACTGGGGAGTCTGTCAAGAGGCCGAGAAGGGTGAAGTAGCCATAGGGAGCAGAAGAATCTTCAGTGGCAAACCAGAGATAGGCAAAGAAATAGAGAGGGTAAGTAAAAAGGAGCCCAAGGAAATAGCAACGAGGTCTGAGACTGAGCAGACCTGGTTGGTAGTGATACTCCTGGTTCCAGCCCAGGGACCCTAGCAGGTGAGCCCAGATTCCCCTACCAGCCACCGGGAAAGGGGCACAGGACCTGGAAACTTGGAAGATTGTCTGAGACAATGTCCAGACAGCTTGTCTGGTGGGACTGTGTTACCCTGGAAGGGGAGGAGTAAATAGTGACCTGGGTGGAGGGCTGAATCACAAAGAGGGAGCACCCCATGTCCCAGAGACAGTGGTACCATAGTGCGAGCACCTGATGGAAAGAGGTACCAGGCTAAATAAGAGCTACTCCCCAGATCCAGCTATGAGGGGTGCCCCAGCAGTAGTCTACCCCATTACACTGTCCTCAAAGAATCTATGTTTGACAAGAAACTCAGAATGTAGTCACAGCTTCCAAGGGCAGAAGGGATCACTGTGAGCACCGTCTGACCTCCTATATAACACAAGCCATAGAACTTCCCCAAAATAATTCCCAAAGCAGATCTTTTATAAAAAAACATCCAGTCTTGATTAAAAATTGCCAGTGATGGAAAAATCCACCATGACCCATGGTAAATTGTTCCAATGTTTAATTACATTTTTAACAGTGAGGGTATACCTTATTTCCAGTCTTAATTTGTCTAGCTTCAATGTTCAGCCAGTGGATCATGTTCTACCTTTCTGTTAGATTGAAGAGCCCATTATCAAATATTTGTTCCCCATGTAGGTACTTATACTATACTCAAGTCATCATTTAAACCTTCTCTGTTAAGTTAAATAGATTGAGCTCTTTGAGTCTATCATTATAAAGCATCTTTTAATAATGTTCATGGCTCTTCTCTGAACTCTGTCCAATTTATCAATGTCCATTTTGAAATGCTGACACCAGAACTGGACACAACATTCCAGCAGTAGTTGCACCAGTATCAAATACAAAAGTAAAATGACCCATCTATTCCTACTCAAGATTTCTGTTTATGCATCCAATAATCACATTAGCCCTTTTGGCCACAGTGTTGCACTGAGGGTTCACCTTCAGCGGATTATTCATAACCCCCAAATCTTTTCCAGAGTCACTGCTTCCCAGGATAGAATCCTCCACCCTGTACGGATGGCCTATGTTCTTTGTTCCTAGTTGATGCATTTTAATACATCTAAATGTAAATGTATATTGTTTGCTTGCATCTAGCTTACCTAGCGATCCAGCTCACTCTGTATCATTGACCTGTCCTCTTCATTATTTATCACTCCCCCTATATTTGGGCCATCTGTAAACTTTATCAGTGATGATTTTGTTTTCATGAGGTCATTGATAAAAGTGTTAAATAGTGTGGGGCCAGGAACTGATCCCCGAGGGATCCCACTGGAAACACACCAGCTCAATGACAATGCTCAGTTTACATTTGAGATTGAAAGTTTTCTAAAATGTGTCTTTTAAAAAGAAATGAAAGTAAATCTCTGAAGTGTGGTTATGGTCAGAAAAGCCATTTCAAAATGGCACCTTCTTACTCAACAGTCTAGATACTTGTGTGAATTCAGCATCACAATTGTTTTAGTTTTCAGTAATTTGAATTTTGTTAGCACTGCAGAGAATACAATTAGGTGGATTCCATTCTGGCCAAAATTGAGTAAATAATTTGTAATGTATAATCTGAGTTGTAAATTCTCTGTGAATGTTGCAATTTTCTTTTTTAGCCACATATTTTCTACAAAGTATTGGTCTTCAGCTTATTTGAGAGCAATTTGTTGTAAGCATTCAATAGGTGAACTAACAACAGGGAACAAAAGGTCACGTTCCTCCCTCTCTCCTCCCCTCCCCCCTGGACGGACGGACGGACGGACACACACACACACACACAGAGCTTGGTTTAGTGCAATTCTCAGACCCATGTTGCCGCGCAAATACTTGAAATTATAAACTTTACACTTGCTTTGTAATATTTGCTAAGACTAGCTGTTTTGGCAAATATTCCTGCAACAAAACTCATTTGCTAGAATATTTGCAAAAAGAGAACCCAAAAAGTGTGTGAACAGTTTTCCCCTATGGGTGCTCCACTGCAGGATGTGAGAGAGCCCATGCACGCTTGACGGGAGATTGTAAATAGCAGCGTCCACACCTGCGCATAGCAGCACCTCATATTCCCAGGTGAGGGCATACAAGGAGGCACAGAGCAGACCTGCTGCCACTCTAGCTCCTTTTCAACCTCTTGCAACTTGAGATGGAGCAACTGCGGCATCTGCTGCTTTCAGCCACTCCCTGCCTTTCTTATTTTCTTTCCTTATTTAACTTGTGCTTGGGGTCTTTCCCCATCCTCCCACCTGTCTGAACTAGTTGCCTCACACTTTGTGGTCTATAGCACTGCCCGGGTTATGCCTAAGACCCTGGGGTTCAAGCCCTACCAGACCTGCCACAGGTCTTTTCCCTGTAGTGAAAGCCACTCTAGCCATCTCCCATGTCTCAGAGAAACTCATGTTCCATCCAAACAGTTTCTGCTAGAGCTAAGGAGAGCTCTGTTACGAGGAGCGTCAGCCTAGCCTTTCTATCTTTGCAAGACCTTCCTTTAAACCCTGTGCAAACTTTGCACCCCCGGTACATTGGCCTCAATGTTTCAGGCCATTCCAGGGACTTTGGGAGTTCCAAGGGCAGCTCGAGATGAAATTCTCTAAAAGACTCCTACTACAGACTCTAGAAAGAGTGGTAAGTCACCTTACAGGGCCAACTCTCAGGATCTATGTACCCACAATGAGTACAGTCAAGGCTCCGACAGATCCTGGTACCACCTAAGAAGTCCTGATCAGAGAGGTCTTCAGTTAGGGGCCTTTCAGTGCTGTTTATCTCAGAACCATCTGGCACCAAGATGCATCTAAAATCAGGGACTCATCCCCTCAAAGCCATAGAGACCATAAAGACCAAGAGAGACTCCCTCTCTGATACTGTCCTCCTTGGGACATCAGCACTCCGAGCAGAGAAACATTCTTGTCTGCTCCTCCGGTACTGCAAGCAGCATCCTCACTCCTGCATGAATCCCTGTTCCAAGGCCCAGTACCACCTCTGGCTTCTACTGCTCATTAACATGGCCCTCTAGATTCCTTTCCTCTAAGTATCTTATCTGAGGAACCAGTCTCTTCTCTAAGGATACCATAAGAGCCCCTTCACTAATACCACTTTGACAATTGGTAATTGAACCTTTTCCCACCAGAACAGGATCTGATCCATTGCCTCCTGTACCGGCACTGATGCTCAAAGCCCCTCTTTTCAACTTGGGGGATGACATCCTCACTCTGAGATTTTTGTACAGGGCTCTGTTTCAGCACTGTGCCACCACATTCCTCTATGGATGAGCCCTGAGGACTTTTCAGAGACCAGCAAATGTCCTAGGTTCCCTGGTCACAAATACTCTCTGGGACTCTTCCCCTATCCACCTGCACAATGGGCCTACTGGCCCCCCTGGACACATTACGGCTACCAATTTTATAGGGTACCTGCATGGAAGAAACATCTGTCAGTAGTGCAATGGCTCCTGCCATCCCAAGATTGCTTGCCGGTACCACATGTTCCCTCTGTACCTGAAGAGCCCAAGAGGAGCGAGACCCACTGAACAAAGAAGAATCTCCGGCTTCAGCCAAGTCCTTCTCCTCCCCAATGAGGTAGTAATTCCACCACTGCCCTCTTATGCAGATGACTTTAGGGTCTTCCAGAACTTACTGGGGTATCTAGCTAAATCCCTCCAGATTCCATTGGAGAAGTCCAGGAGTCTCAACATTCTCTGGTGGACATTTTATACATTAACCTTCAGGGTAAGATCTCCCTCCCTACCCATCAATGAGGCACCAGCTCATGCTCTATGGCAGATACTTGCCACTATTTCGCCCCTTGCAAATGGACAGACAAAAAATATTACATTCCAGCCAAGAGAATGGGGGTTGGATGGGAGAAGTGTTACTCCAACTCCCTGAAATCAACAAAAGAAACCATCAAGCACACTCCAGACCGTCTCTTAAGAAGGAGTCTAAACACCTTGATCTCCTGGGCAAGAAAAGTTACTAATTGGCTGCCCTTCAATTTCAAGTTGCAAACAACCAAGCATTAATGAAAAAATATGATTTTAACAACTACTCAACGTTTACTCATTTTATTGAACTTTACAGGCTTCATAGTCCTTAGCCACTGCAGTAGTTATGTGGCTAGCATCTTGGCTCCAATCTTCTGGCACCCAAGGGAGGTGCAAAATACTGCGGAGGACCTTCCCTATGTAGGAAAGAACATAAGTTTGTTATTCACAGGTCGTTTGCAGAGCTGGCAGTCAGAGAAAACATTCCTTTATTTGTATACTGTGAAAACTGCCCATGAAGGTCATTGAGGCCCAAGTGCAGAACCACTTTTCAGAGTATAACTTCACTCTAGGGGTACGTCTACACTATGAGATTAATTCGAATTTAGATAATTCGAATTTGGGAAACAGATTGTATAAATTCGATTGTGCGCGGCCACACTAAGCACATTAATTTGGTTTTTAACCACATTAATTCGGTGGTGTGCGGCCACACTACCCCTAATTCGAAATTACAAAATCGATTTTGGTGCTACTCCGCTCGTCGGGGTGGAGTACAGAAATCGATTTTAAGCGCCCTTTAATTCGAAGTAACTGGCTCCGTTGTGTGGACGGGTTAAGGATTAATTCGGATTAACGCAGCTAAATCCGAATTAAAGTCGTAGTGTAGACCAGGCCTAAGGCCCCGATCCTACAAAGACTTGATTGAAAGGGATTACTTATATGGTTAAAGTTAAGCACGTGTTGAAGTCTCTGTATGGACCCTTCAGCTGAAGTGGACACCTGTTTACATTGTTTTATTGCAATCAGTTGTCAAGACAAGTGAAACAAATGATGGTCACTTTAAGGTTAACACAAAGGAGTTGACAGTATTGACAAGGAACTGAATGTCTCTTTTTAACGGTATGAAGTTTCAATAGTCAGATCTGAAACCAAATTCAAATAGCTCTTTTAAAAAAAAAGCCACCCTTGGTGTATTATCAATAGTATTCATAAAAATCTTATGAATCAACCATTCCATCAACTAATCAATAGTGCTTTCTTTGTTTTTGCAGGAAAAAAAACAACATCAGGAGGCAAACTTTTTCAGCTCCATTGCCTAGTAGTGACTTTCAGATTCAAATCAAACCAAAACAATACAATTTTGCTAGAAAATAGTCATTGATATATTTCAGGATATTCAATGAAAAGTAATCACATCAATGCTAATAGTTTTTTTGATTTCTTCTGCTTATGATGAAAGAACCTGACAAGATGATTCTAGTAAAGTAATATGGATTGGTATAGATTCCTATGAGTTTATAACAAAAGACTGAAATGACAGGAACCTTAAGTGCTTTGCTAAAAAATAATGGATTTGAGCACATGCTTATGTATTTTGTTGACTTGGAGCCTGAGGCCAAGCTCCTACAATGAGCTCTGTGCAGGTGGATCCCTGTAGCTCACAGAAAGTCCCACTGACGACTCACTGCAGAAATCAGGGTCTGTGTTCATACATGTTACCTGTCCTTTAGAAAGCACATGCCTTTTCCTGATTTATGGCAACTTATTTGTTCTAAAATGCTGTATTTATTATTTTAACTCAGTATTATTCCCTTGCAAAAATTAAGAGGTTGGGGGAGAGAGGGTACCTGGTACCCCTCAGCATCATGGAGCCAATCTAGAAAGAGTAATATAACATTTAATATAGCTAGGATTAAATACTTAATATACATACAGGACTTTGAAAATAAAGGGTAAGTACTATAGATGCTAAATATTATTAATCTGGTCCTTATAGAGAACATTTTATTACATGTACCTATAACTGTTATGAACATTATCTAAAAAAAATCAACTGCGTAAAACAAGAGGTTGGATAAGCTTACATCTTACAAGGATATGTGGTGAAGCAGGGAATGAAGCACAGAGAGGCTAAGGGTATGTCTACACTACGGGATTAATCCGAATTTAGATAATTCGAATTTGGGAAACAGGTTGTATAAATTCGATTGTGCGCGGCCACACTAAGCACATTAATTCGGTTTTTAACCACATTAATTCGGTGGTGTGCGGCCACACTACTCCATTAATTTAAACACAGTAATTCGGTGGTGTGCGGCCACATTAACCCTAATTCGAATTAACAAAATCGATTTAGGCGCTACTCCGCTCGTCGAGGTGGAGTACAGAAATCGATTTTAAGTGCCCTTTAATTCGAATTAACTGGCTCTGTAGTGTGGACGGGTGAAGGGTTAATTCGGATTAACGCAGCTAAATCCGAATTAAAGTCGTAGTGTAGACCAGGCCTAAGTGATTTGCCCACGGTCACACAGGAAGTATGTGATGCAGCAGGGAACTGAACCTCTATCTCCTGAGTCACAAGCTCATAAATTTAACATGAAGATGTTAGCTACGGGTGCTTAGTGCCTCTGAAACTCAGGGAATTTTAGTTGAGGCAAGAGAATCCACATTTTATAACCTAACTTTACCATTTCTCTATTTAAGTCTATAGAAAAAAGAAGTTCCTACCTGAGCTCCAAGGTGCCTTTAACATAATTTTAAAAGTACATTTGAGAGCCAGCAGCTTCCTCAAAACTCACGAGCAACTTTAACAATCAAATTCAAGCAATATCTTACCACCACAAACACCAGTCCCTCCCCCAGAAGGTGGGCACAGATGAACTTTGTACTGTGGCCTGAAGGTCCTCAGATTCCAGCTCCAGGAGAGAGAGCTGCATCCTTGCCTTACTCCCAGCCCCCTTCTTTTATAAAAGGGGGCTCCAGCACTTCCCCAACCTCACCTACATCAGTATCAGGGAAAGGGAAGCGGTGTCTCAGAGCATGTCTACACCGCACCGGGAGGTGTGACTGCAGCCTGGGAATACCTGTGCTAGCTGTAACCTAGCCCGCATAGCTACCGCCAGCAGTACCTAGGTAGAGCAGTGCAGGCTGTACCAGGAACCCTTCCCCTTCCCTGTGACAGTCAGCAAGCTAGCTAGATTAAAGCCAGCACAGGTGTGCGCAGGGGAGCCGCAATCATACCTCCCAGCGCCGTGCGCGCAGCCTCTGACTGGCACCGCTGCCCAAGTTCTCTCCTGTAGCTACTGACAGGGAGGGAAACTGAGGCAGGGCCGGCTTCACCCCCACAGGTCCGAGGTGAACGCGCGGCTCCCTCCTCCCCGGGGCTCTCTCCGCTCCAGCAGCCCCGGAGCCTGTGAGAAAGGGCCGGAGAACCCGCCAGTATATTGCGCAATCTGGTCGGCTGGGATCCCGACTGAGCCCCGCTGGGGCTGCAGCCACCCCACGGAGACACCTGAACGCCGCGCCGCTCCGCGCGGCGCCCGGCTGTGACGGCCACGCCCCGCCCCGCGCGCACCCATGGCGACGCCGCAGCTCCGCATTAGAGAGGCGGAGCGAGCGGTCGCGACTCCAGGCAGGAAAGAGACGCGCATGCGCCACCCAACAACCGCTCGCTCGGCAGCGGTTGGACGGCGCGCGCCCCCTCCCAGCCCCTCCCCACCTTCCCCCTCTGCCCTCGCGCTCTCCGTGCGACGTCGCTGAGCAAGAAGCCGCCGTGTCGGACGCGGCAGATTCGCCATAATCCGCCACCTCGCTTTTCTGACCCCCATTAAAAATAATAATTTCACAAGGAGCGGGGAAGCCAGCGGGGCGCCCAGGTGGCCTAGTCGACTGGGACGAAAGTGCTTTAAAACCCCCACCTTGGCCTTATTTCGCGACAGCCCCCTCCCGCGACCGACTATGGAGGCTCCGGCTGCAGGTGAGCGGGGCGGCCCGGGTCTAAATGTGAGCAGTGGGGGGAGGGGAAGGCGCGCGGAGGGATTCTATCCTGGTAGGAGGGGGGGAGAGCATAAAAAGTAGACCCGTCTGGTAGCTGTTTATTTTATGATCTATCCGCGTATGAAATAGTTCCCGTACGTATTATGCCCACCGCCGGCATGGCCCCTCTTTCCTCAGCTACCGACCTCCCGGGAACTCCTCCAGGACCCCCGGGCCGGCCTCACGGCAGCTGGGGAGCGGAACCCCAGAGCTAATTAACCCTTGGGGGAGCTGCTGCTCGCCAGCCCTCCTCCTCCTCCTGAGCCTGTTCCTGCCCCCCCGGTATTGAGCCAACCTCCTGCTCCGAGCCCCCAGTCCCGCTGCTAGCCCAGCCAGCCAGCCCCCTTTCCTCCCCTTCGCGCCACAGACCGACGGGCCTGCTCGCCACCTTCATTTTCTTGGGGGGGGGGGCAGGAAGAGAGTCTCCACGCGCCCCCTCCCCGTGCCTCGCTTTGGGTCGGGACAGGACCTGCCGGAGCAGGGGGGATTCGCCTTTTCTAGGCAGGGGCCTGGGGAAGCCCCGCCCCCCAGGAGGGCGGGGCTCCTTTCAGCGGCGGGAAGTCCTCATATGGGCCGGGGGAATCCCTTCCACTTGGGGAGGGGAGCCAGCCGTTCCCGTGTATGACGTCCAAGCCCTGGCTTCAGTTCCCCGCTCCCCTCCCTCTGCCTATAGGAGCGAGCTGGGCGCAGTCAGTGGGGTCCTGAGTTCCTCCCTGCTGCCTGGAGACGGTGGTTATGAGTCCCTCCCCCCCTTCCCACTGTATTGTGGGCCCCACCCTATAGTGGGAAGGGGTGGACGGAGTCAGACTGCCCAGAAGGGTTTTTGGCATGTAATTTACTCTTAAGGAAGAAGTGCTGCTAAATCTCTCTAAGGAAGCTTCAGTGCTGTTAGATGTATTTAGAGCATTGCTTACATTCAGATTCCTAAGGGTGTTCTCATCTACCAAAGCCAGGGGTCTAAACCAGGAGAGGGAAAACTACGGCCCGTGGGCCGGATCTGGCCCATCAGGGCTTTCAATCTGGCCTGCAGGATTGCCAGCCCCGTGGCGCAGCAGGGCTAAGGCAGGCTCCCTGCCTGCCCTGGCCCTGTGCTGCTCCTGGAAGCGGCTGGCACCATGTCCCTGCGGCCCCTGGGGAATGGGGGGGGGAAGAGGGCTCTATGCACTGCCCTCATCTGCAGGCACCACCCCCCCCGCAGCTCCCAATGGCCGGGAACAGGAAACCGTGGCCAATGGGAGCTTCGGAGGTGGTATCTGCAGGTGAGGCCAGCATGTGGCGGAGCCGCCTGCCCCATCCCGCCCCCAGGAGCCACTGCGGTACATGCTGGCTACTTCCGGGAGTGGTGTGGGGCCAGGGCAGGCAGGGAGCCTGCCTTAGCCCTGCTGCTCGCTGCTGCCACCCTGGAGCCACTCGAGGTAAGCAGCACTGGGCCGGAGCCTGCACCCCGAACACATCCTGCATCCCAACCCCCTACCCTGAGCCCCCTAACCCCCTGCCTTGAGCCCCCTCCTGCACTCTGCCCCCCTGCCCTGAGCCTCCTGTCACACCTGCACCTCTCCTGCACCCCCTGCCCTGAGCCCCCAACCCCCTGCCCTGAGCCCCTTGCTGCACCCCGCACCCCTCCTGCATGCCAACCTCCTGCCCTGAGCCCCTCTCCCCCACTCTGCACCCCCTTCTGCACCCCAACTCCCTGCCCTGAGCCCCCAACCCCCTGCTGTACCCCACACCCCTCCTGCACCCCAAGCCCCTACCCTGAGCCCCCTCCTGCACACAGCACCCCCTCCCACACCCCACACTCCCTCCCACACCCCAACCCCCTGCCCCAGCCCTACATTCATGGCCCTGCATACAGTTTCCCCACCCAGATGTGGTCCTCGGGCCAAAAAGTTTGCTCACCCCTGGTCTAAACTGTTTAGAAGGGTGCCAGGAAAAAGTAGTTTCTAATGTTCACTTACAAAGGGGAGGAACTATAAAATGTCCTGCTAACGTGCACTAAACTAGTGTCATTTTTTGTATTTCAAATGTCTATAAAAAAGCACGTTATGGCTATCTTGTGCAAATAGCAGAATCAATCTACATAATGTTATGTGAGGACATAGATTAAAATTGGAGACATGCCCTGCATTTTGGCCCCAGTTCAATAATATTTGGGTGCCTTGAACCTGACTTTCGGCCAACTGTTGTGCAGAACGCCTACAGTTCCAGGTGATTTCAAGTAGAATTATGGATACTCTGCACTTCAACAAGTCAGGTTCGAGGCATCTCAAGTAGGGTACCCAAAAATCAATGGTCAGTTTTGAGGATGTTGGTTTATTTTCTTATGAGTGTCTTCAGTGTCTTTTGCTTCAGGATACAGTACCTTGCAGGATAGGGTCCCTAAAGTGTAGAATGCAGCACCTGTGTTTGGCCACAAGAGGTTGCTACTAGAACATGGAATATAACTTTTGTTGTCTATGAATGTAAGATAACTATAGCCTTGTAGAACATTTAGTTAGATAGTTGATGCATGTTTTTAAAATAATTATGTGAGAAAAGGTACATATAGTATAAACCAGATATTTATATCCTAGTATAGATATTTTGTAGGATCTTTTATACAGTTATCATAACAATAGGATCTCTACCAACATTGTAATCAACTATCCTATATACTAAGAACTTAACTGTTGGTTATGTCCCTTGATAAGTAAATTGATCTCTTTAAACTGCAGCAGTGTGCATACAGACTTAATTTTCTTCTATGAATTTTGTCACGTGTGTCTATTTCAGCCATTTTTAGAAGAAAGTTTGCTACATTTAATTCCTACCTAAATTGTTTCATGATCAGATGAAAGCAAGTACTAAGCATCAGTTTGCTTTGCCATCCTGATAGGCAAGAGCCTCACTTTCTGTATGTGATGAATAGGCCACATAAGCTTTTCATTGTTTAAATTTCCTGTTGACAAGGTATATTGTAATGCTGATTTTGAGATGTGGCATTGGAGTTTTTAGACTTGAGTCATCCTGTCTAGACTAAACAAGTAATTAAAGAATTTTTTTTCATCCAGTTCTGAAGTCTGCATAGTTCAGGAAGAATGTTTTTTTTAGTTTTTTGATATATAATATATGAGAGAGAGAGAGACTTGAGATACTTTGGGCTAGGTCCACAAAGATTCAAGTCATGTCAAGTAAGGCACCCAAAAGTTGAGACATCCAAAATAATTGGCCGCTGTAGAAAATTTTGACATTATTGAATTAACTGTAAGGGATAGAATAGACCAATATTTTGTCTAATTTTAAAGACAGCTGTGCCCCGTGCACAAAGCTGCCTAAGTTCTGATACCACAGGGCAGCTTTGAGCCTTAGTCTCGATGGGATTCACAAACTAAATGTTCCCTCGCTTACCTTGCCATCAGGGCCTGATCCAGGAAATGAGGTCAGAGCACACCTGACATGCAAAAAGTATGGTGGTTCCAGTCTCTTATACCTAGTAGCTCAATAGATGGAATTCTCATGTGGGATACTCTGGATCAAGTCCCCACTCTGTCTGATTGGGAGCAGGGATTTGAACCTAGCTCTCCCATCTCCTTGCTGAATGTACTAATCACTGGGCTACAAGGTACCTATGGGTTTTTCTTTGTCCCTCCTGTTGAAACTGTTCCACTTTGTATAAAACACTTAAACATTGATTGCATCAGGGACTGGAATCCCGGTGAGCATGTTAACCACTGGGTTAGAGAGTCATTTTCACTTTCTCTGACCCAGACATCCCACCACCTCTTCTCAGGTCTCCCACATTCCAAGGAGGATTAAGTCACAGGGAGCTAAGTGAGAGCATCTACATGATGACTTAATGCACTTTAACTTCCTCACATTGACTTTTTGTACCTTTAGTTGATTTGTTATAACTTTCCTGAGAGGCCCTCTGTAGATAAGCCCTATTACTCCCAGTGTTGCCACTAAATGTAATGTAGACAAGAATCAACAGGAAATATGGCACTGTTTAGTGTCCTACAGCATGTGTAGCTTTTTTAAACTTCTTGCTGAAGCTTTACTTGTGTAGAGCTTACTGATTAGAAACAATGAAATGATGATTTTCACCACACCAAAGAAAGAGAACTAAAATTAGTTAATGCCAGTATTTTCCCTCAATTTATAACTCTAAAATGTTAATGAGTGGTGGTGGGAAGGAAAGGCCTGAAGATCAAATCTTTGGCTAAGTGTCTGCTCTTGAGGCAAATGTATGGGTAACTGAAAATCATACTTGTTCCAAGCTCCTTTTTTGAAGGATGAAAAAATGCAGTTGGCACAATTAGTTGCATTTCACAAGATTATGAAATACTGCAGTTTGCCTGAAGGTATAAAAATAAGTGCATTAGCATATTTCACAATATTTTGAAGAAAGTCTGACTTTTCTTTGTGTATCTATTTTAACCTGCTTATTTTCTATGTGGAATACCCTGACTACACAATGACTCAGCAGCAAGCCAACAAAACCCACAGCTACATAG